AATATCCATCATTAACACGAGAACATTAGCAGAATTGTTCCTTGTTTGTTATTGCAAATCAAAGAGCATAAACCCATTCCAACACATCGTTGTCCTGAATTTTGTCCAAATACCAACTCATGAGCTTGGCTATATGTTACCATTATTGTTTTGCTAGGGTCAATGAACATTGGAGTAGGTTCAGGGTTTTTCTCTATAGTCTGAACTCAGTTGAAATTTACAATATGAATAAAGGCTGGTAGTTTCCAAAGAAACTGTTTGGGGCTGCGTCGGTGGGGGTAACGAAATAATTTGAATATATCAACAAAGTTGAAATGGTAAATTGGCCACCGTTACGATTATAAAAGCTGACGTTTCCAGCGTTAGCCCTTCGTCGAAAGTTGGCGTTCATGTTTTTGGATAACCCTCTGAATATCGGGGAGGATAGGATTGTAGTCGAGGACTAACGGAAATAACGGAGGGTTATCCAAAACGTGCTCATCTCTTAAGATCGTCAACCGAGTTATCGGAAATTTTTCCATCAAAATCGATTTTTCCAGCATATCGCCATTCCAAAAAACCTCAAAGACATTTTGGCGCCTTCTAGATTTTGTGTGGATAGGAAATTTAGTCAGGCAGAGAAGGAAACGGGAGGGTGTTTTAAATGCTCCTCTAGATGCGACCTTTGCAGCAATTTTTTAATTCAAGACTCCAAATTTAATAAGTTTTTCCACAGGCCGAACTTATAAGATTTGCCAAAACTTGTCTTGCTCTTCCAGAAATGTTGTTTACTTGGCCTCGTGTAACAAGGTTCTACTTTCACTGAATTCAAGGTACGTTTTCGCAATCACAAGTCGGCTATGCGAAGAAACAAAAATACGTGCGAGCTTGCAGTCCATTTCAATTGTATCAAGCACGAGATTTACGAAATTAATTTTATTGTTATTAAGAAAATTACCAGCCAAGGGGACGCAGATTATATTGATAGATTATTACTTACGAGAGAGGCCTACTGGACCGCACAACTTTGTACACTTAGTCCCCATGGACTTAACAAAAGATGCGAATTCAGATCCAAAAATCGCGTCCGCTATAATACGTAATTAGGGCTTCATTTACACGATACAATTGAATTCTTCGCAACCAATCGTGGTTATTTCGCCCTTAGCACATTCTTGCCTTTTACTCATCATTATATCTTATTATTTAGGTATGTAGTGCATTACGTAATATTATTTATATTTCTTACGTTTAGTATAAATTCAGGTTATTCTGTAAACCTACTAGGACTTTTAGTTTTTAGTATTTATGTAAATACGTTCCACCTGAAGAAGGCCGAAGGCCGAAACGTCGCCTCATTAAAGCTGGAACAGTGAAGTTTGCTTCATGTTTCATCGTTTTACACTTACTTAAAATTTACCTTGAAGCACTGTATCCTCCTTGGATCCTTCTACTGGGAACTCATCGATTGGTGTACCTTTTTATTCTGTATATATATATAGGAAAAATATTGTAGTACACGAGGACGGACAACTTCGAGCTAAGAAAGCCTAAGAAAGCGCCAAGAATTTCGAATTGGGCGGGCATCAGAGGTCCCAGTCTCAGCGTTGATTGGGAATTCTAGTACAATTCTCACCTTTCAAGTCAACGCTGGTTCCTTAACATTTTTAGTGGATTCGACAATTTTTCCATTGCTTTTTATTGTGATAATTTTTCGCGTAGTAATTACTGTGTTTGTTTATATGTGTCATCACGCCCTATATAAATCTATTTAAGGAATTTGTAAGTCATTGTATTACAACTGATGAAGGTCTCGGACCGAAACGT